CATTTTTGTTGTCTTCTACGTCATTGATGATATTTGACACGAACCATCACTAAAATGGGCTTAAAAAGTTCACCAGCTGCAGAAACAGGGGTAGTAGCGCCGCTACTAGGGTAGTAGCGCCGCTACTATGCCGACAGAGGAAAGGTTGCCCTTGGCGCTACTTAGTTAGCGCCGCTACTGCGTCGGCAGCTTGCATGTCTTCACGGTTTTCGCTCGTTCGGGCTCGTTTGTATTCGGAATTGAGTTCCGTTTTTTTCTACGCGTAGTTAACGAACCCCTCTATCCAATGATGCTTGCAAACCACACTTTTGCCCAGAATACGAATTTTGTGGAATTTTCAACCTTTACAGGGTCGGTAACTTGCTCAGCTTTACATTTCAGCCCCGTTTGGATTCATCCAAACTCGAAATCGAATTCCTCTTTTTCTCACTTGTCGCTAACTAACTTATCTAGTTAGTTGTTTTCGAATGATCGCATTCCGAGCTTAATCCAATCCTCACGGGGTTTTCGACCTGCACAACAAAAAACAAGAAGAAAACAGGAAAAATACCGGAAAATGAAAGAAAAACACCAAAATGCTTACAAACACATAAAACACACATAAAACAATAAAAAGACTCTAAAACCAAATAAAAGACTCAAATTGGGGGTAAAAGAATAAGAAAATAAACACAAAAAAATGTAACAAAAATAGGACAAACAACGAACTTATGTTTTGACCGAACATTTGAGAAAACTTTATGCTTTCAGTAACAGTATAATTTTATTAAAAATTTAGATAACGGTTTTCCAAAATAAGTCACGTTTTTAAGGTAACACCCCGAATCAGTTTTCGCAAAGTAAAAGGGTTATTTTTAAAAGACTTTGCGAAATTTTCGCACTCTGATTTTACGGTAAGGTGGGGTGTTACAATCAATATACGGCAAACAATTTACGGCTAAAAACATCTTAAACAAGATCAGAAAGCATAAATATACGGCAAATAACATATCGCGATTAACTTCCAAAACAGAATCAGAAAGCATAAATATACACAAATCTACGCACTAATTTATCGCGATTAACAAATCTACGCACTAATCTATCGCGATTAACTTCCAAAACTGAATTAGAAAGTATAAATATACACAAATCTACGCGATTGAAATATATACACAAATCTACGCCATTAACTTCCAAAACATGATAAAACATGATTAGAAAGCATAAATATCGCCATTGAAATCTACATTCAAATAACAGAAATACCCTAATTGAAAATCTATCGCGATTAACTTCCAAAACAGAATCAAAAAGCATAAATATACACACATCTACGCACAAATATATCGCGATTAACAAATCTACACACTAATCTATCGCGATTAACTTCCAAAACAGAATCAGAAGCATAAATATACACAAATCTACGCGATTGAAATATATACACAAATCTACGCGATTAACTTCCAAAACAGGATAAAACAAGATCAGAAAGAATAAATATCGCCATTGAAATCTACATTCAAATAGCAGAAATACCCTAATTGAAAATCTATCGCGATTAACTTCCAAAACATAATCAGAAAGCATAAATATACACAAATCTACGCACTAATCTATCGCGATTAACAAATCTACGAACTAATCTATTGCGATTAACTTCCAAAACTGAATCAGAAAGCATAAATATACACAAATCTACGCGATTAACTTCCAAAACAGGATAAAACAGGATCAGAAAGCATAAATACCACCATTGAAATCTACATTCAAATAGCAGAAACACCCTAATTGAAAGTCTATCGCTCGCGAGTAGAAATCTATCTATCGCATGAATCTCTCTCTTTATCTTCGCGATTGATCTATGGCGAATAAAATCTAGACAGAATATAATGGAAAGAATCCGGACTTTAATGTAAAGCTATTTGATATGGGATATTATATACACAAGGCTAAACCGGTCAACTCAGCCGGTCGAGAAGACCAAGTTAGGAGGAGGCCAGAACGAGAGACAAGAGGATCGATCATTTAAGCAGTCGACTAGGCAGTCGATCGACCAACCCATTGCACGACTAATCCCGTAATCGAATAACTAATTGCTCGACCAGATATATGATCGAGCAACCCCTTGTTCGACCAGACGCGGGATCGAGCAACCTATTCGAGGAGCCCATGATCGACCTAGTCACAGGCGCGTGGGTTGCAGATGCACGTGAAAGCCCCTAACTGAAA